ACAAATGAGGTTATAAACATTCAAATAGACCTTGACAGAAAAAATGTTTCCCCTCCTCCGTCCCCTTTCCGATCCCTGCTCTCATGGGGAGATTTCCATGACCAGTCCCAGGCCTCAGCTGATACCCTCTGGTCAGCCAAGATCTTCTCCCTACTCCTTCTCTATATCACTGATTCTTTCAATTCTTCACCTACTGTCACCACCTACCCTTAATTACTTAGTTTTCAGCAGGTAAGTCTGACTAAAAGAAGCTTCCAAGGTGTTCCTCATTTCCTACAATTTCTCAATTTCCTAGCAATTTCTAACTACTCCTAATTTGCAAACTAGTAGCTCATATGTTAAATGAAGGTCTATTTTGATGTGCTAAGTTTATTTTTATATTTAAATGGGGAGTATTCTCTGCTTGGTTAGTTTGTCAAAGTTTCTAATTTCTCACCACTTAATGCAAAGAGGATATTTAACTCTTGCTCAATATACTAATCTTTCTCTAGAGCCATCTTTCTTTGTAGATACATAATATTTGTACCTCCTTATGGGGAACATTCTGGCAACTAGATACATGTTTGCAATCAAATCAATGTAGTGAACACTTCCATCTCTCACAATATTAATCATTATTATGTGTTATGAATTTTGTACCCTTGTAGCCCTGAAATATATTGTTTTACCCAATCATTATCCTACTGAGTTATAGAAAACCAGAAAAAATTGTTCTTCCTCTCTGTATTTTGATGTCTTTATCTAATTTCTTTCCATTTTCTTTTTTAAAATATATATTTTAATGTACAGAGGGGTTACAGTTACATGAGGAAGATAATGAGTACATTTCTTATCGAGCACTGTTAACCCTTCCTTTGTTTTTCCTCTACCATCCCTTCCCTCCCCACCTCCCCAACTGCTCCCCCTCAACCCCCTTGAAAGTTGTAAAGTTCATTTTCAACATTGTGTCTTGTACATCTCATTACTACAATAGATCAATCTGTATCCTATTTCAACATTTTGTTATTTCCCTTCCCCTCCCCAAATTAGAAAAATACATACACAAGATGAAAAGCACTGGACTCAAATACAGTGAAAACAGGGGTTATATCATGGGGGAAGAACATACAAAAGAAACAAAAAAAAATCATATAGTGCACTATAAATACACTAAAAACACAGCAAGAAAGATAAAACCTCTTGTGTCCCTATGTTGGGATTCATTTCACTTAGCATCTTCTTATATGGTCATATGTATATAGCTTTTGACCTTTTCTGCTTGTCCTAGACATATACTAGTTATTGCAAATAATGGAAACCTTGGGACCTATGTTTCTTTGGGCCTGGCTTACTTCACTTAATATGATTTTTTCCAAGTCTTTCCATTTCCTAACAAATGGGGCTGTGTCATTCTTCCTGATGGAGGCATTTCCTACCTCCTACAGTTTCCATTCTGCAGTATCTACTCTTTTACCACGAAATTGACTTTCTAGTTCCTACAAATGCATGAGAATATGTGGCATTCATCTTTCCATGTCTGGCTTATTTTGTTTAATGTCATGAGTCAGCACCATGTACATTGCTACAAGTGACAGAATTTTATTCTTTCTATGGCTGAATATTGGTAACATACTCCCTTCATTCATCCATGGATGGGAATCTAAGTTGCTTCCATATCCAAGCAACTATTAGTAATGCTGCAATAAACATGAGAATGCAGGTATATTTTTGGTATGTTGATTTCATTTCCTTTGGAGGTATGTTCAGTAGTGAAGTTACTGGATGACTTGGCAGTTATACATCCTCAGTTTTTTGTGGAACCATACTGTTTTCCATAATGTTTGTAACTAATTTGTATTCTACCAACAGTGTATGAGACTTTCCTTTTATTACCAAATCCCCATCAGCATTTGTTACTTTATGTCTTTTTGATGATAGCCATTTTTACACGCTAAGACAATATCTCATTATAGTTTTGATTTGCTTGTCTCTGATAATTAGTGAGACGATATTTTTTACATACTTTCTTTTAATCAGTTGTCTTCTTTTTGGAGAAGTGTCTTTTTATTTTAATTGGATTATTTGGTGGTATAAGGTCTCAGCTTTTCTTAGTTCCTTATGTATATCCTGGATATTAACATACAAAATCAACATACAAAAAAATGAAAACATTTTCATATACCAAAAACAAACTTGCTGAAAAAGAAATCAAGAACTCAGATGAATAGTTTGCAAGTATTATCTCCCATCCCAAACCTTGCCTCTGAATTCTGTTGATTACTTCCTTTGCTGTGCAGGAGCTTCTTAGTTTGATATAATCCCATTTGTCTATTTTCCTTTTATTACTTCTGCCTTCAGAGTCTTGTCTGTAAGAATCCCTGGCTATACCAATGTCTTAGATTCCCTTTGTTTTCATGTGGTGATTTCATGTTTTACATTTAAGGCTTTGATTCATTTTGTATTCAGTGAGAGGAAGGGATCCAGTTTCAATTTTCTGCATTCACACAATAGATGCACATATGTTCTATGTAATTCTATACATATTTCTAAATCTATGTATCTGGATATATTTTTATGTATGGGATATATTATATTACATAATATATATGAGATATATGTATGTGTATTCAATCTTTCTAGCACTATTTATTGGAAAAACTGTCCTTTTTCACTCTATGACCTTGGCACCTTTGTGAAAGTTTGATTGGCTTTATTAATTATGGATTATTTATCCATTGAGATATATTTATTTTTATACCAGTATAATACAGTTTATTTACTCTAGCTTTGTAGCAAGTTTTGAAGTTGGATATTATAATTCCTCTAGTTTTGTTGTTGTTGTTTTATTTGTGTTTTTGCTTGTTTTTGTTTGAGATTGCTTTGGCTAGTCATTTTTTTTTTTGTTCTACATGAATTTTGCTGTTTTTAGTTCTTCCTGCTATGACTGCTTTATTTATTTGATATAAATGATTGGTTTTGGTGGGAAATACATTGAATCTGTAGGTTTGGGGGGGTAGTATCGTCATTTTAACATTAATTCTTCCAAATCATGAACACAGAATATCTTGTCACTGTTGTCTTCTCTAATTTTTTCAGCAGTCTTCTATAATTTTCTTTGCAGAGATCTTTCAGTGCCTTAGTTAACTTTATTCCCAATTTCTTTTTTGTGTAGCTTAGGCTGACCTCAAACTCATGATCCTCCTGCCTTTCCTACTGAGTACAAATAGTATTTATAGTGATTTGTAGATTTATAGCAAGTGGAACTATTTTCTTGATTTCTTGTGCAGTAAGTTTGGTTTTGGTATATTAAAGTGGTTTCATTTTTTTATGTTGACTTTGCATCCTGCAACTTTCTGAATTCATTTACCAATTGAAACAGCTTTTGGTGGAGTATTAAGGTTCCTGTATGTATCAGAATAATGTCATCTGTGAACATGGATGATTAAAACTCTTCCTTTCCAATTTTATTTTGTTCTCTTGCCTAATCGTTCTAGCTAAAGCTTATATTGTGAAAAAGTAATGAAGATAGATACCTTTTGTTCCTGATCTTAGAGGAAATCCTTTTATCATTTCCCTATTTAGTATGATTGTCAGAGTTTGGATCTGAAAGATGTCTCAAAGGCCCATATTTTATAAACTACTTGGAACAGAGAGTGGAAACTCTTAAAAGTAGAACCTCGTTGGAGGAAGTTAGGTCATTGGAGGTGTATCCCTGAAGGGGATTTTGGAACCCTGACCCCTTCATCTCTCTCTTTGCTTCTTAGCTACCATGATGTAAGCAGCTTTGTAAGGCAACAGATACTTGAGGCTTCTAAAGCAAGATAAAGATACCAGTGGCAGCTGTAGCAGCTTGGTTCTGGTAGATGAGGGAGTCTACTAAATGAATGTCTCCTTTGGAGACAGTTGCCTTTAAACTAGCAAACCTGTTAAAGCCCATAGGACTGTGGCTCCTCCTCAAGTTAGGACTACCAGTCTATGATGAGGATTGCTAGTACTTTTTACCTTTTCCTGGTGATTCAGAATTTGACCCCTGTCTGGCTCAAGCCACGGAGCTAGGATTGAAGTTTTCGTTTCCCTTGTTTCTCAATATTTTCTGTCTACTCTATGCTCTTTCTAGTTTTTGTCATTTTTGAAGATTTCTAGAGTTCTTTCACAATCACTCTAAAATATAGATTTTCCTTTGTTACACCAATATTTCTCTCTGTCAGAGTTGTGTACAGGGCTCCTCTACTCAGCCATCTTGGCTCTCTCTTGAGAACAACCTTTCAGAGAGCAACTTTCCTCCATCAGCATTCAACTTCTTACTATTCCATATATTCTGGCTGTTAAGTTTCTTTTACATCACTCTCCATTTTGAGTCTTGATATCAAGATCGGGAGGGTGTAAATAAAGCTTTATCTACCTTTAAATTAACTATAGAAAGAACTAAAAATAGCCCAGCTTTAGTTCTTCAGGTCTTATTGGCTTGTACAAATCTTTATTTTTTGTTACTGAAGAAAAGAGTCTCCCGACTTTTGCTTTATCTGCCTTTTCTGAGTCTGCACGAGGATTCATAGCTACTCAACTTAAATACTTATATCAACAGTTCCATCTTGCCTTTCTAAGAGGCTCCATTCCCTGCCTACTTCCTAAACTTTTCCACATGGTATTATAAATCAGCTTGGCACAAGCTTAACTAGAAATGTTTTCTTATTTGAAATAAAACATTAAAGTTATGACAGTTAAATACAGCCTTCATGACCAGAGTTAAATCAAAACATAAACAAAAATCTAAGATAATTTGTACAAAATTTTCTATTCATGAAGTTGCTTGGTTTGCTGGAAGCATAAGTTAGGAAACTTAGGTTTTAAGTATACTCTTCTACTGTTGGGCAAATAGATGGATTGTTTATAAGATTTCATCTTCAGTTACTAATGGAAGTGGATATTTCATTTATGGAACTTTTCAACCCTGTTGATTTTTATTGAAATGCACAAAATCTACAGAAATTTATAGATTGTCTTTGTTTTTGAACTTATAGGAAATCAATGTGTTGACAGTTGCCTTGGTCAACCAAGATCGAGAAAATAATATTGAGAAAAGAAGCCAAGGCTTAAAATCAGAGAAAGAAGCTCTGCTAATAGGTAAGGAAATGCTATTTTCTTCATGTATTCACTTCAACAATCATTATGTATTTAAATAAAATAATAATATAGTAGTTTACCTTCTCCTTGTTATCAATCTAAACAGCTCTGCCTTCAGAGGTGAGATTAATTTCATCAAAATTGCATACATTTCAAATCGGGCGGCATACAAACTAACAGAGGTTTGTATTCTTCTCTAACCAAATATATTAGCTGTTTTTTGGCATCAAAAGGAAGTCAAGTAAATAGATTAATCTGAATTTCACTCATTTTTAAAATTTGGATGTAGTACTTACTGCTGGAGATCAGAGTTAGCTCTTATCCCAAAGTTCTTTTTTTTCCTCTCCTTTTTTCTTTTATTTCTTTTCTTCTTTTTTTTTATTGTGAAAATACTATACAGAGGGGTTACAATTACATGGGCAAGATAAAGAGTACATTTCTTATCAAGCATTGTAGCCTCCTTCTTTGTTTCCCCTTCCCATCCCTTCCCATCTTCCCCCCCCCATCCCAACCCACTCCTCCCCCCCCCAAAGTTATAAAGTTCGTTTTCGACATAACGACTTGTACATCTCATTGTTGCAATGGGTCCACCCGTATCCTTATTTTGTTTTTTCCCTTCCCCTCCACAAATTATACCAACATCAAATACAGGGAAAGCAGGGGTTATATTGTGGGGGAGAGACATACAAAGCAACAAAGATATAATCTTATAAATGTGTTAGAAACAATCGCATGAAAGAAAAAAAACATTTGAATACATATCTTAGGGTTCATTTCCCTAACATCAACTTATCTGACCTTTTCTGCTTGACTCAAGACATATACTAGTTATTGCAAATAAGGGAAACCATGGGACCTATGTTTTTTTGGGCCTGGCTTATCCCAAAGTTCTAAACCAAGCCAGTTTCCACACAATTGAAGTTTTACACTAACAGAAGAGATATCCTAAGGTCAGGCCCAAGGCCAGACACATAATTCTGATAAAACAGGAAAAGCCAAATGAATAGTATTGGCCAACTAATCTAGGGTTTCGTGTCCATGTGTGCACCCACTGGTCCAGGATAAACAAAAATGGCCAGCTACTAAAATGAAGAAAGAAGGGCACTATTTTTAATCTGAAACACTCTGTTTTCTCACTAAATACATCCAGGCTGGTTTTGCTCTGTCTGGACGAGAGGCAAAGTTCCAAATATCTCTTTGAAAGTCAACATCAGTTGATCCCAAAGCATTATTTACTCTGTCAGGAAAACGTTCTTGGGGAAGATGTGACTGGGATCCCAGGTCAGAAACCTGTATGTCTCAGGAGCCCTCAAACATGGAGGAAAGAATACCACTGTTCTCACAAAGTAATGCACAGCCTTGATTCAAAGCAATGGCTTGGCCCTGACTCCAGCATAAGGTTCAAATACAGACTAACCCCTCCCTGGCATAGTTAACAGTGATGAATGAGTTCACTACACATGTGTGAAAAGTTGTTCTCCTGTAGTTGGTTATCTGGCAGAAGTAGCACCTGGTTACATTCTCTAACTACTGCAAAAGCTCTCAGTTCAAACTGACAGGTACACCAAGGCCTGCAGAAGCTGGCACAGAATGAATTAAATTCAAAAGATAGTCCAAACTTCATCCATCACATATAGATTTTTCAACTACAGGGTTATTGAATATGACATCAACTTAGAGATACTCCAAGGAAAACCAATTATTTTTTCTCTCTCTCTGATGATATACAGCTGTAATAACATGCCATGTGCAAATCTCAGAAGACATGCTGATGTGCTCTCAGTTCCAGGAACCCAAAATAAGCCCATATGCAGTTGATAACTGGATTTTTTTTCTCCTATTGGCAACTGCATCCAGTGCACACAACTGTTTCCCATTCATTCAGTGGCAAAAAAAAAAAAATACAGTTATTTAAGAAAGGGGGAACAGCTAGACACTGGTGGCTTATATCTATAATCCTCACTACCCAGGAGGCTGAGATCTGAGGATCAAGCCAGCCCTGGCAGGAAACTCTTATCTCCAATTAACCACCAAAAATCCAGAAGTGGAACTGTGGCTCAAGTGGTAGAGCAGAGCACTAGCCTTGAGGAAAAAAGCTAAACGATAGGCCCTGAGTTCAAACCCAGCATAAAAAAAATGGGGTAGGCATGTCTTTATTTTCTTTCCATTAGAAATTGTTTCTGCTTTTATTTTATAATCTACTTGAAAGATATAACCCATTTATAACATTATCTAAAAAAAAAATCTCCATATGTATATCCATACTGATGGCCACCACATTTAAAGAATAATATGCTTTAACACTGTACATTAATAGGAGTATATGGGGAAGTTCTATTTATAACTGGCTGCCTCTGCTGCAAACTTCAGTATCAAACCAAAATGCAATTCATTACTCAATTCTATTAAAAAGAAATATTTTTGTAAGTCAGGATCTTCAGTAAAAAGTATGCATAAAACTGTGGGTGCTGGTGGCTTAAGACTGTAAGCCGAGCTACTCAGGAGGCTAAAATCCGTATGGCTTTATTTGGAGACCATCCTAGGCAGAAAAGGGTACTAGAATTCATCTCCAAAAACAGCCAGCATAAACCAGGGCTGGTGACTTGACTCAAGTGGTAGAGTACTAGCTTAGTATTTGTGAAGTCCAAAACCAGGTACAGTTGGGAGAAATGGGGAGAACTTATCAAGATACATTATACTCATAAAACTGACATGTTAAATGGAAATGCTGTTGTATAACTATTAAAGATTATTATTGTTGTTGTTGTTGTTGTTATTTTGCCAGTCGTAAGGCTTGAACTCCAGGCCTGGGCTCTTTTCCTGAGTTTCTTTTGCTCAAAGCTCTATCACTTGAGCCACAGCACCACTTCTAGATTCTTCTGAGTAGTTTATTGGGGATAACAGTCTCATGGACTTTGCTGATCAGGCTGGCTTTGGACCCTTCCAGGAAATGGGCCGTTCTGCTAACTGACTTTGGCCATTTACCCCACATACCTACCTTAAGGGTAGAGCTATAAACCCACCCCAGGCAGATTGTGTAAGCTCGACACAGATTCTGGTGGAGTCATAATTGTTTTGGACCAGCCGATAGAGCAAAGGAAATTCCTGGTACCAAATATGCCCTTTTCTAAGGATTTCTTGTGGGTAAAGTGGGTCCTTTGGCCTTCTGATGCATCTGGAAGAGTTAAGAATAATACTCTGCAAATTTTCTGGAATCTTCCTTATGATAACTAAACTTGTAGAGAAGACATGGAGACCTGTTCAGGTCCAATCTAGATCAGCCACACTGCAGAAAAACTACCAGATTTAATTGGTCAATGTTTCGCACATCTCAGTATATGTAACATACAATATATTTAGGTGACTTGACTCTCTAGGAACATTAATGTTAACATGAGCAATGCACACTGGCACAAATTATAATTTCCTGGGAGATACAAGTAGTGAAAAAAGAAGCTGTTTCAAAAGAATTTAAAAGAGTATAGAACCTAAGGTTAAACACAAACAATAACCAATCTAGTTACTTGTGGCATATATTCTATCCATTCTCATGACCGAAGACTTTATTTCAAGTGCTTCATATTGGAATTTATCGGAGAAGATCTGGGGAATTTTGTTAATGAATCATTTGGAGCTTTGCACATCTGGATCCTAAGTTTTCCAAACTTTTTTCTTGACAATGAATGGGTGAAGTGTTCTATGCTCCAATCCAACTAAAGAAGATGGGCTCTTAAAAATACTTTAGTTGACTTCTGGATTATTTATTTTGTGATCAAGCTTGTCTTAGGAAGACAGATTGACATCTGATTAGGCTTTATAAGAATTAGATTTTTCTGGTGTACTGCAGAGTAGCATTTTATGTCTCATACCTCTGTGGTCACCACATGTTAAACCAGCTTGACACCACTCAGAGTCTGTGCCAGACCTCCTAGCTCATTCCACATATGGCCCACATGTTGGATTTGGCATATGTTAAAGCTGTTTGGGATACAGTGAGTCAGTACTTTTGATTTGGGACCAAAACTTTGTAACTGTGTTTGGCAAGAAACTACTAGATGTCATCATGAAGGAGAATAGATCAATTTCTTTTTATTAATAAGCCAGTACTCTGAGGGGATGTTGACAATCCAACTGTGGGTCTGTATCCCTCTATTTTCTCATGGTTTTTATATACTAACCTAATAGATTTCCAATCCCAGAAGCCAAGTTCATCATGCTAGTCATCATTGCAAATCCAGTTAAAGCCCAAACCTTTCTAACAATTTGAATGGTTTGAACTGTTTGACACAGCAGCTTTTCTTCAAAACCTCCTCAAAACTTGGTGCTTGTGGTTCTTAGCTATTCAGGAGACTGAGATCTGAGAATCCCAGGCAGCAAAGTCCTATAAGACTCTTATCTCCAATTAATTGCTAAAATGCCAGAAGTGGCGCTGTGGCTCAAAATGATACAGTGCTAGCTAGCTGTCCCTGAGCAAAAAAGCTCAGAGACAGCACCCAGGTCCTGAATTCAAGCCCTAGGATCAGGACACACACACAACAGCAGCAGCAGCAACAACAATGGTTCCCAGAGAACCATCTGCACATTTTTAACGATCAGGCCAACTTTTGCACACAAGGCCCCAACTCCTCCACAGATCAAGACGTCCATACTGTGGGCCATCAAGGTGTTTCTTCACAAATCCCTCACACCACCATTTCTATCACCGATGCCATCCCAGACCAGTGCAGGGGCTATGTCTGAAATGTTCCCCTGACTTCTGGGTAGTAGGGGCAAATGAACCAACGTTGCAGAGACAACTTCCACAAAAAGTCAGGCAGTGACTATTTGGTATTGGCAGTGAACAGAACTGAAGCCCATTTACGATGCACTTGAGAAAAGGAATGTGGAGAGTAATGTGCTCCTTTCTAAAAGCTACTGACCATAAGCAGTGAGTCACTGACTGAAATCTTGTTTCCAAAGCACAAATATCCATATCAATAAATCAGCAAACATCAGTCAAGAGTCTACCATAAGAATGATCAGTTCTCATTGTGAGAAAGAATCACCTGGGCAATTTATTCATACCACAGAATCTTAGGCCACACCCTAGATTTTGTTCATTCCCAAACTAACATCTGCATAAATACTGAAGCAGGAACTTTGGAATCATGTTCTGAGAACTTCCATATACCAGTACCAACACCAACCTCTGGGTTAGCTGATGGTGGAAAAAGAGAAGTTCACAGATACTGGCCAAGATCATTGGCTCATCCTGTAATCTCAGCTTCTTGAGGTATTGATAAGAAAATCGAGGTTCAGCCCAGCACCAGTGGTTTACATCTATAATCCTAGCTACTCAGGAGGCTGAGATTTGAGGATTGCAGTTCAAAGCCAGCCAGGGCAGGAAAGTCCATGAGACTCTTATCTCCAATTAACCACAAGAAAACTGGAAGTAGCATTATGGCTCAAGGGCTAGAGCACTAGCCTTGAGCTGATGAGTTCAGGGACAGCGCCCAGGCCCAGAGTTCAAGCCCCACAACTAACAACAAAAAAAATATGGTTCAAGACCAACTTGGGCACAGTCAGTGAGACTCAGACTGAGACTCAGTAACACAAACAAGTTGTGCATGGTGCCATACACTTGTAATTCTTGTAATTCCAGCTATCAAAAAGCCCCAGCAAAAGTTCAAGAACATATCTGAAAAATAAAAAGAATAATGTGCTGAAAAGAAGTAATAATATACTTTTAAAAATAGGAATTGCTTGCAAATGATGGATTGGCCCTGTGACATCCTGATAGCTGATGATCAGTCAGGATCCTGATGGTCCTGAGTAATCTCGGCAGGTGGCTATTCTGATTATTAATGTATTGAGGTATCTGACAAGTAACCTAGGGAAAATCATTCATCCACTGTGGACCTAGGACTCATACTGTCCAGTTAAGAGTTTAATTGGATGGTCTTTTTTAACTGAGTACTCTGTGATATATGAAGACTGTTATTAAGGGGGCATCCCCATTTAGACAGTGATCTAGTATGTAAGTAGACTATCATATGTATCAACCTATAAGCATGAGCTTGGTTATCTGGTACCTTTAAAAAAAACTAGAAGGTGAACTGGTATGGTAGTATATACCTATAATCCATACACTCAAGAGGCTAAAGTAGGAGATCATGAACTTCAGATAGCAAGAACCTGTCTTTAAAAAACAGAAGAAGTAAGCTGGCACTGGTGGTTCATGCCTATAATCCTAGCTACTCAGAAGGCTGAGATCTGAGGATCATGGTCCAAAGCCAGCCTGGGCAAGAAACTCCGTGAGACTCTTATCTTCAATAAACCACTAGAAAACCCGAAGTGGCATTGTGGCTTAAATGGTAGAGCGCTTGCTTTGAGCTGAAGAGCTAAAGGATAGCTCCCAAGCCCAGAGTTCAAGCCCCACGACTGACCAAAAAAAAAAAAAAAAAAAAAACACAGAAGAAGTAGAAGGACAGGAGTAAGGAGTAAGAAGAGGAGGGGAAGAAGGAAGAGAATGAAAGGATAAAGAGGGAGGATAAGAAAACAGAAAGAGGAAGAGGAGGAAGAAGAAAATCCATTTTGATCCCTTGATTTCAACAAACACTCCATTTCAAACAACAGAGTGGTGAGACAAAGGATGGACAACTCAAAAACTATATACACAAGACAATATGTTGGAAATGATCTGTACAACTTGGAAGAAGGGACATGGGAGGGAAGGAAAGGAGGAGAAAATTGAGGGAAGGCATACCAAGATTGACAATGAAGGTATTCATTACTTTACTTACGTAACTGATACTCCTCTGTACAATAAAAATTAAAAACAGCACTATTTCCATGTTCTCCTTTATAGCATAACCTCTAATGCAGTCTGTACCCAGCATTTCTATTCCATTGCTGCCCCTTTATCTTAAGCCCACTTCATTGGTTCACCTCTCACAGTGAACCTGTTCTTGTCTTGCCGACTTGAATACTTTCTGTTGACAATTTCTCACTTTTTCCATCAGTCAGCTGCATTTTTTTCTGGCTGAACTCCCACAGGAATCTTCTGGAAATGCTTTCTTCTCTTAGCTATCATGAAATCCTCTTTCTTTTTGAACCACAAGTTCAAGGTCACTGTCTTTTCTGTTACTTGTTTTGTTCTCTTTATTCTGCTTATAATTATCTCAGTCTATTTCCTTGAGTTTTCATTTGTTCATGTATCATCTAGGTGGTTCTCTAGACTAAAAGTTGTGCCAGAGAAGGAATTTCTCTGACTTATACATGCTGACCCTTAGTACCTCCTGCTGAGTGAGTGAATAAAGCAACATATTTAAGGGAATAACAAAGGAAACAAAATCTAGTATCATTTGCTTGCTTTAATGCTGCTTCCTTGGTCTTAATTCAGAACTGAGAGTAAACTGTAGCCTGTTTATAACAACTTTCTTAACAACTTTCTTAACAAGATTGGTCACTGGCTGAATAGAGCTCGTTTGTAGATTTTTTTTTTAAGGTTCTTTCAAAAAGACTAGTAGTACTAATAATTATTTGCTTCTCTCTATTCTTAACTAGTTATTTCCAATTGTACTTTGCATGCCTGGGAAGCTGGTTCTTAAATGGACACGCCTCCTGCTTGTCCCCCAAATGGATAACAAGCAGGAGTTGAATCTGCCTTGCTGCAGGCAGAGCAGCTGGACGCAGCCCATGGCTCTACCTTCAGGTCACTCTCAGTGGGCCATAAAGTTATCTCCACTTGGCAGGAGAGGAGGGGAATGCCTGGTGACATTTCTCATTAGCTATTGCTTTTCTATTCCTAGGAAAAAGAAACCCATTATTTACTTAGGAAGCTCACAATGAATCTGATCCCTCTCCAAAAAAAAAAAAAAAAAAAAATTCCACTAACAGCAACAGACCCCTAGCCAAAAGCAAAATAGAGCAAAAAATCTGCATTTTCTCAGGATGTCATTAAGGATATTAAAATTAGCCAGACATGCCAGTACCTACTTATAATCTCAGCTATTTGAAAGGTAGAGCAAGGGATCAAAAGTTAAGGATACCCTATCTTAAGTACAAAATATGTACAAACACACGCACTCACACATACACACACATACACACACATACACACACACACACACACACACATGTCATCACCATTATTTCTTTCTGCTATCCTCATTACTTTCTAAAAGGAGATTTTAGATCATTTAAATAGGGATACAGGTGGACCCATTGCAACAATGAGATGTACAAGTTGTTCGAAAAATGAACTTTACAACTTTGGCTGGGGGGGAAAGGGGGGAGGTTAGGGGGGAGAGATGGGAAGGAATGGGAAGGGGAAACAGAGGAGGAGGCAACAATGCTTGATAAGAAATGTACTCATTACCTTGCACATGTAATTGTAACCCCTCTGTATGGTATTTTCACAATAAAAAAATAAAAATAAATTTAAAAAAGTACTATAAAATGCCCAAAAAAGAGATTTTAGCAAAGAAGGCAAAGGAACATTCAAAGAAAGCTCATGAAGCTCAGAATGAAATGGTAAGATAAGTCTGAAAATAGACTATAATTTTTATAGAGAAACAATAATTAATTGTTTTTAACTTCTTCATTTTACTGTAAACCTGTAGCATCCCTTTACAGGTCATGGAGAGCTTGTCTAAACCCTTCAGTTCTCTGTCCTGTTCTGTTTTGTTTTTAACTTGAAGTTTAAGAAACTTAATGTTCCACCCCGGAACATCCCAAGCAGCACAAAGGAGAGCAAGGGACAAAGATGTTACCTTGGATCAGCCCATGGCCCCTCCCAACACAAGATGACCTGCTACAAGAACCATGGGATTGCCTGCTTTTCTCCCTGATTGCATTTTGTACCACTGAGAATCTCCCCTTTTGGCCCTTCAGCTCTCTAGTTTCACTGCTCACAATACACAGAACATGAGACTTAATGCAACTTGTTTAAAAGAGCACTTTCAAATTTGCCCAAGCCAGCCTCCTTAACACAAAACAACACACATTCTGTGAACTTGACTCCCTCTCTGTTTTGATTTTGGATCTAGAAGCACTGGAGGATGGGAAGATAATGCTTTTTACCTTGGCCCTTACACCAGTATCCAGCTGTTCATTTGTCAGTACAATGTTGACAGTTGACTCTCACAAGGCAAAGCGCTTCTGATTCCTGATCACACTCCAACCCAAGCATTCATTCACAGGCCTTTATTAATGATCTTGTCAACCACAGCAGAGAAGAGGAGAGAGGCTGGCTCCCTTTCAGCAGCAGCCATGATTGAAGGGCAGAGCACATTAGAGGATGAACACACACTTCCTCCAATGGCAGCTCGGGGGACAGGCCACAGCTGTAATTACCAGGAAAACTCAAGGCAGTGATTTCTGGCACAGCTGTCTGAGTCATTTTCAGCACAGTCCACTGAGAGAAAGAAAAAGATAATTTTATCCTTTCAATAACTACAATTTTATATTGGTAAATCAAGCATAAAATTGGTAGTTGAACTGCTTCCAGGAGTCTTTGTTTAGAAATACCTTTATTCATCTATATATTATCTCCAAGTCTACCTTTACTAACTACTGTCATTGTAGGAGGGGAAGTGTTCTGTATACCAGGTTACTATTACTGTTTCTGGATCATGCTATTGTTAAATGATCGCTCAGTGATGTTCAAAATAGCATGACCAGGAGCTGGAGGCCTGGCTCAAGTGTAGAGTACCAATCTTTGAATGATAAAGTATCAGACCCCAGGTTCAAGTCCTGTTCCCAGAAATGAAAAAAAGTAGGAAAAGATAAAAAAATGGCAAGACCCTAACTCAGCCTTCCAAAAGTCATTGAGATTAGATGGCATTATGTAACTGAGACTTTGCATACAATTTACAATGGCTGTCTTTTTTCATTCAGGCATCATATCAACGTTTCTTCATGTCCATCCTTTTGGAGCCAATATCGAATACCTTTGGTCATACATGCAGCAGCTGGACTCCAAGGTAATTTTCAGTGCTAAAATTTCATAGATTGCTTGCTGCGTGCAGGTGGACATGAGTGAACAGCACTGGGGTAGAACAGCCTGGGGAGGGTTATTATGCTGCTTCCACAGGATGGGGGAGGGATGGTCATAGTTGCCTTCTCCATTGCTTTTGTCTTCGCCTGCTCCTCTTTTCTCTCCCCTCTGATTTCTTCCTCTTCCTCCTCTTCCCCCTTCCTCACTCTTCTCTTCCCCCTTTTTCCTACCCCCTCCTACTCTTCCTTTTTCCTCTTCCTCTTCCTGCCATCTCCTCCTCTTTCTTCTCCCTCTTCTTCCTCTTTTACCCTCTGCCTCCCCTTTCTCCCTCTCATTCCTTCTCTCTTTTCTGGTTTCTCCTTCCATCTCTTTCTCCCTCCTCCTTCCTCCTCTTCTTCTTTCCCCTTCCTTCTCTTTTCTCCTCCCTTTTCCTCCTCCTTTCTCCTCCCTCTTTCCACTTCCTCCTCTGCCTTTCTCTCCCACTGTTTTCTTCTTTTTTCTTTCTTCTCATTCTCCTCCTCTTCCCTCCCTCTTCCTTCCTTTTCCCTTTTCACAGAAATTGAACCAATAGTTCCTTTTATTCCACACTGTTGCCAGCATTTTTAGTTGTCTTTGTTATTTTTTTTTTATAATGACCATTTTAACTGTAGTTTTAATTTGTATTTCTCTAATGGTTAAGAGTGTTGAGCATTTTAAAATGTTTCTTGGGTACTTAACAATTCTTTTTTTTTTTTTTTTGAGAGGTGTCTGTTCAAGGACTTAGGCAAACCTTTTACCATTACTTTGTAGAAAGAAAAGCAACATAAAGAAATTTCAATTTACCTGTTGGCCTGAAAGTTCTAGAAACAAGGAAGGAATCAGAATCAAAAGGCTAATGTGATATGATCCTTAGGCCATATTGTCACAGGATTCCATGTTAGAGATATCACACAACAGAGGGACAGCCACTTCAGAGAACATAAAATTATGACATGAAATGTAAGGACAGTTTCCATGGCGTTTTCCACAGTATTCTCTAAGTGAGAAGAAGTGATTGCCAAGTTAGCTGTGCCCCTAAGCTCTCTCATCAGCAAATAGCTGTATCTCTAGCCTTTTGTAGTATTGTGTGCTAAAAGGGAATAACCAGACAAAGCTCAATTCTTACTGAGTTACAGTGACCACTGAGAGCCACTGTGTATACAGTGATTCCTTACACAGAGAGGGTTAGGAATGGAGCCCAGAAAGGGGTAAAGTCTGAAAACAATAATGAATCAGAAAGGCCTGTGGGACTTTGTGGCTGAAGGGAAAGTGGAAAGAAGTAAAAGCTCCTCCAAGGGGCAAAACAAAATACACGGGATTTGTATGACCACATCTACAACATGCACTTTTGAGATCTATATAGACATTTATGTGTTATTCTCGTCAGTTAGCATGGACTAAATTACTACATTGTGCTGTTATTCAACCCAGATGACCAATACATGATTGCTGTTTGACTTTTCAGTGGGCCTGATACTTTTTTTCTTTGAGGAACAATCCAATCATCAAAAACTAAAAATATTGTTTAGTTATACAGATTTAGACATGATAGACCAAACAGGGTAGAAGGAGTAAGATTACAAAATTATTTCTTAATTCTTTATTGACATACTAATTGTGCAAATTGGTTAAGTCTAGTGTAATTGTTTTTTTAATTCCTTTGGGTATTTGTCCAAGAGTGGTATATTATCAGGATCAAATGGTAGGTAAATGTTTTTAGTTTTTTTGAGGAAATCATATACTGATTTTCATAGTGCCTGATTCCCACCAATAGTATGTAAGAGTGCTTTTTATTCCACAGTCTTGTCAGCATTTGTTACTTTTAGTTGTCTTCATGATTTGTTCATTTTGATAATGATCATTCTAGCTTGGGTAAAGTAGTATCTCATTGTCGTTTTGATTTCCATTTCTCTAATGGTGAAGGATATTGAGCATTTAAAAAATATTTCTTGGATTCTTAGAATTCTTCTTTGAGAAGTGTCTATTCAGATCATCTGCCAATTTTTAAAGTATATTATTTAGTGTTTTAAGTTGGGGATTTTTTAAGCTCTTTATATATTCTGGATATTAATGCTTTGTTAGGTGGATGGCCAGTATTTTCTCCCATTAGGCAGGCTTCCTATTAACTCTGTTGTGTTTGCTATGCAGGAAGCTCTTTGATTTGATGCAGTCTCACCTGTTAATATTTGCTTAAGTTTCCTTTCTTTGTAGTCCTGTCCAGGAAAGCATTGATTATCCTAATGTTTTAAAGTATTTCCCTTGTGCTTTCTTCAAGAAGTGTCAGGTCTTATATTTAGATCATTGATCTATTTTCAGTTGACTTATACAGTGTTGGCATGTACACAGTCTGCACTTTTTCCTGCACCATTTTATGAAGAGAAATATTTAATATGTTTTTAGCACCTTTTCTGAAATTCAGTTGCCTATACATGCATGGGTTTATTTCTGGGATCTCTATTTTGTTCTATTAGTCTGTGAGTCTGTTTTTATGCCAGTACCTGTTGTTTTCTGTTACTGTGGTTCTGTCTTGAAAGTTGATATTATGATGCTTCTAGTTTTGTTCTTTTTACTCAAAAACATTTTGGTTATTGAAAGTCTTTTGTCCTTCCACTTGAGTTTTAGGATTTTTCCCCTTAGGTATACAAAAGATGTCATGGATATTTCAATGGAAATTCCAAGAGATCACTTTGGATTGTGTGGATATTATAATAATATTCATTCTTCGAATCTATAAGCATGAGAAGTCTTCAGGTCTTCTTATGTTCAGTTTCCTCTCATCAGTGTTTTGTACTTTTCATTGCAGAGATCTTTCACTTCTCTGATTGTTTATTCATAAAAGATGTATTTTATCTTTTCAATCTATTGTGAGCTGCTTTCATTTCTTCTTAGCAAAAAATGTATCATAAGTCTATAGGTTATTGATTTTTGTGTGCTGCTTTTGCATCCTACTACTTTACTAAATTTATTCATTCAAATTGTCTCTTAATGGAGTCTATACATATTCTATGCTTAGGAATTCTATATATAGAATAGTATCATCCACAAGCAAGGATAATTTGACTTTGCTTTTTTTTCTTGCTTAATTACTTTAGCTAAAACTGCTAGTACTATACTGGAAAAAGAGCAGTGAGAGTAAGCAGCCCTATTTTGTTCTTGAGCTTAGGGGAAACTTTAGCTTTCCTCCCACTCAATATGATGCTAGCTAGTATTTATTATGTGAGATATAATACTTAATGTGTTCATGTCTTCTGCCATGAAGGAATACTGAATTTTAGCATATACTCTTTGTGATCTATTGATATGATCATATGATTTTTTACCTTATTCCATTGATCTGATATATTACATTCATCGATTTGCATTCTTAAATATATAATTTCTAAACAAAAGAAGACCGTAGGCATCTTTCTATATCTGCCATGAGACTAAATTGATCATGGTGATGATCTTTTAGAGATGCTGTTGAATTTGCTAGCATTATTGCTGAGAATTTTTGCATCAGTAGTCATGTTTTCTTTTTTGTTGTCATTTTTGTTATTATGCCCTTATTAAGTTTCATCACAGCAATGTGACCTCATGGAATGAGTTTGGAAGAGTTCTCTCCATTTCATATCTCTGGAATGGATTGAAAAGTTTGGTAAAATTCAGCTGTGAAGCCATCTGGTCCTAGCATCTTCTTTATTACTGATTTTACACCATTATTTGTTTTTTAAATTTATTATTTACATTATTATTTACATCAGGTAATGAGTACATTTCCTTTCATACAGTGTTTTCCCTTCCCTCAATCTCTTCCAATCCCTCCTTCCTGTCTCCACCCATGAGTTGTATATCTTACTTTCAACCATGTCCAGCTCCACCACTTCACTTTCTACCCTTTTTCCCTCAAGTTCTATACCCTCTCTCCCCACCCCTGAAAATATACACATTACTTGTTTTCTTATTTCCTCTAGATCAATTCTGGAAAGTTGGTTTTTGCCTATTATCTTCCTAATTTCTTAACTCTTTGGCTTTTTAGTAATGAGTCATCTGAATTAGTTGTCAAGCGTTTCGTTCCTTTTGATTTTTGGAATTTGTTGTTAGAGAGTTACGGTCTTTTAGAAGTGGCATATTATTTTTTTCATCTTTCTTTAGTTCCAACATTAAAATTTGTGTATTTATTGGACCAGCTCTTGCTACTGCTTTTACAGCGAGACCTTCATCCCAAGTAGTTATCCCCTAAGGATGTGTCATAGGATTGTCACTTGGTTTTGCTGTGTTGGTTTTAATGATGTGTGTGTGCATTGTACAATATTGTGTCTCTGAAGCTTCTTTGGTTGTGATCAGAGAATTTGGACAGCATGTACCATGGAGAATTCAGAAAGACCCACTAGTCTCTGTAGACCAAAGAACATTGGCAACACTTTAGCAGCTCAGGCAGGTGAGGTATGTCAGCAGTGATATGGGGTAATGACTTGGGTGGCTGCACCTACAATGACAGTTCCTCGCCACATGAGGTGACAGGAGTATCCTTAGCCACTTCAGCTGAGGTGCAGTCTCATGCGCTGCCCAGGAATAGGTGGTGGCATGAACAGCGGCACCCTGTCAGTGGGTCTCACACCCAATCCCAACAACAGAAAAGGGGTGGAAGCAGCCAGCAGAGGGAAGCATGCAGGTGAGAGGCAGCAGAAACCATGATGTCCCTCTGCTGGGAGCAGCGACTCGTTGGGGGAACCTTGGAATCTGGCTATGCGAGCCTGGTGGCTGAGTAGTGACTGGAATGTTTCTCTCCAACTTCTATAGCAGAAATGCCCATCTAGGTATATCCCCAAACCTGCTTTGTCCTTCCTTCTCTGTCCAAGGTGGAGGTAACAGCCAAGCCAGAGCTGGTGTTGTTCATGGCCACCTCAGATGGACCTTTGTGGTCTGTCTTGCCTTGCCTTGTCAGGAAAAGAGCCTGGGAACCATGTGGGCACCAGCTGTCAGTGC